CTGGTCTGATTTGGGGTGGCAATAAGGATTCATCCTCTCCTCCTCCCTTCCACATATTGTTGTCATGAGACTCAAATGTGGACAAGGGCAGTGACTAGGGGACTGGATCAAAAGCCCTGCCACAAGCCAGGCAACACAATCATTTGATCACCAAATTCCCCTTTTCTTAGGATTTCTGTTGAAGACATATATTTGGACAGAAACGGACAGGCCTGGATTCATATTTTTTTTACTGGTACATTCAAATTCTAACTTATATCTGAGAATACTAGTGTGTTAATAGGAAAGCAAGAACTCAGCCACTATCACTGCCCCCCACCAAACATCCTGATCTCAACTCTTCTTGGAGCACTTTTGTTGCTATTGATTTCAGAAGATGCAAGCTGAAGACCCAAGTTTGGGTGAGGGTGGGGGGCGCAGGGGGGGGGGTCATCAAGAGAATGACAGAGATGGAGAAGAGAGAACCCTGGGATCTCAGTGCTTAGGGAAGATGAGAACAATCTGCAAGGGAAACTTAGAAGCAGCAGCCATGAGTACTGCTAAGAGAGTTGTTGTGAGTGCTCACTGAGAATTGATTGTTGAACTTAGCAGCCTGGTCATTGGTGATCTGGATAAAGCCTTTTTTTAAAAAGCAATTTCACTTGAAATTCAAGATGATGAGGAAAGGAGTAGAAGGCAGTGGAAACAGACAACCCTTCATGATGTCCTGCTTTCCTTTAAGAAAAGTCTTCCAAGAAGCTGATGTGCACCGAGAGATTAATGAGATCTGATTGATGCTAATTAGCTAGCAATAATGTTTAGACTCCTGTTACTTCTGGAGGGTGGTGGAAGACTGAGATGTCGCAGGAGGGGGAAGAAATTTCGGTAGGCTGATGGAAGCTAAATTGCTGAAGATTAAAAGGAGGAGGTGTTGAGGAAAGTGGGCAAATTCAAAGCAGACCAAATCAGGGAGTGAAAAGGAGAAATGGGGTCATTCTTATAAATATCAGGTAGCATGTTTTCCATGTGCTTTTTAGTAACTAGACCGAGTTGCAATCCTGAAGATGATCCAAAAAAAAAAAATTAAACACTGATGTAGTTTTAGAGTTGAAACTAAAATTTCTGGCACTTTGCTTTTTCTGTACTTATGGAAAATGTGTTAAGGAATTATAAGACAACTCCACCTAAAACAAGTTGCATTGGGCTAGGGCAAAAAAAAAAAAAAAAAAAAGGCTGTTATCAGAATCAGTTGTGCAACCATAGGCAAATTTCCATTCTTCTTCATGCCTCAGTTTTCCCACTTATACATCACAAAACAAATGTTATCTTCTCCCTTTCTTAAGAACTCAAGGTTAAGATTTGCCTTCTGTTCCTTCTGATATTTTTCAGAATGGTGCTTCATGTTGACCTCTCCAAAAATAACCAAAAGAGGAGTAATCTTTTTAATAGAAATGTAAAAAAAGGAAGTGGAACTGTGGCTCAAGTAGTTGAGTACTAGATTTGAGCCAAAATGCTAAGGAATAGCATCCAGGCCCTGAGTTCAAGACCCAGTACTAGCACACCAAAAAAAAAGTAATGTAAATAACAAAAAATACACACACACACACACACACACACACACAAACATATATGCCTCCTAAACTACTCCAGTCCAAATTGGAACCACTATTACAAAAAGGTTTACATATGAAGACTTTCAGCCTTCTGTGTGCTAAAGATCATGCATTGAAATGTCATTCTCTCAAAGCATGTCCTTTAGATAAGGGGTCATTGACTTCATCCTACAGACTTAATAGTCAAGAGAGTATTTAACTGCCCCTGTATTTGAAGGAACTAGTGGTATTTAAATCCTAAACCTAATAATCTAATGCTATTCCAGTGGCCTACCCTTTTTTTTGCCCTTTATGTATTTCAAGTTTTCTAAATTCATCTGGGAAGTAATAGATCATATTTAATTGTTCAGTATTTTATGCTGTGCTTTCAGAATCGTGCCTGATTTGTGGTCTGGCTCTAGTTCAGTATTATCCAACACTAGGTTTATTTCATCGGCTGAGTATCAAAGCTCCCTCATTTTAGCCAGAAATTAAAATAATAGCTCGAAGTTTTCCCCTGCTGTCAAGCAGCTAGTCAATGAGACTTACCACATTTTAAAATAACTCTAATGTTCTCCATAAAAGCTGGATAGTTTTTTTAAATTTTATTTTATTTTATTTGTGAACATACTGTACAGAGGGGTTACAATTGCATGGGTAGGATAATGCGTACATTTCTTACCAAGCATTGCAGCCTCCTCCTTTGTTTACCCTTCCCATCCCTAAAAGCTGGATAGTTTTAAAATTTAGCCCAGGCATTCAACTTCTCCTGTATGAAGATGAATCTTTCTTCCCTAACTTTACTTTATTGTAGTGTTACAAACCATGCCATTGGATCTATGGAGGATATCCGTAGATTCAGCTGGTGGGGAGCACGGCCTGGGGGACCCATACCTCTCATCTCTTCTGAATAGTGTATAGTCAGTTACTAAGTGACAAAGAGGAGGGACAAAAGAAATTAAGAACAATATGGTATATATTTCAGTGTGTGTGTGTGTGTGATCCTTTAGTCCACTTCACCTCTAAAAATCCCCTCCTAGACAGTCCCTTTTAGACGTCCAGTTATCACCACCATGATTGAAAACAAGCACTGCTATGTTTTCTGAGTTTCTCTTACTCAAAGTCATCTACAGATCTACCCACTTTCCTGAAAATGACATTTCATTTTTTCTTTATGCTGGGTAATATTCCAGTGTATGAAGATATGTGTATATAAACACACACATGTATATAGTGTATATATGTGTACGTATATGTGTGTATTGAATTTTCTTTTTCATTCACCAATTGTTTAGACATCTTGGCTGATTCCAGTTCAGCTACTGTGAACAGAGCTGTAGTATAAATATACTGGTATCTTTATTGTATATCGATTTATTCTCACTTGGATATATGCCCAAGAATGGTATGACAAAGTCATAAGGAGCTCCATACTGGGCTTTTCACACACACACATACACGCATACATCCTTGCCAACATTTGTTGTTTTCTAGATAGTAGTCAATTGGGAGAGATGATGGAATGGAATTTACATCACAGCTATGGATGTTGAACACTCCTTCATGTATTTACTAGCCATTTGTCCCTGGCCTCATACATGTTAGGAAAGTGCTCTCATGCATGTTAGGAGAGTGCTGTAACACTGAGGTGTTCTCACCTCTCTCCAGTCAGTTGTTCTGAGAGGAACAGGAATAGAGGAATTTTGTTTATCGAAAATAAAAAGAGGGCTGGGAAGGTGGCTCAGTGGTAAAATGCTTGCTTTGCATGCATGGGGCCTTGGGTTCGATTCCTCAGCACCACATTCGCAGAAAAAGCTGGAAGTGGCGCTGTGGCTCAAGTGGTAGAGTGCTAGCCTTGAGCTGAAGAGCTGAGGGGGAGAGCCCAATCCCAGAGTTCAGGCCCCACGACTGACAAAAATAAATAAAACTTTTTAAGCTGAGCACTTGTGGCTCATGCCTGTAATCCTAAACCTGAGGATGCCAGCCCAGGCAGGATACTAAGAAACACTCTGATTTTCCATTTAACTCAATGAAATTAAACATATTCATCCTCACAGAAATAGTAAGAATGCTTTAGTAAATGGCAAGGTTTCAACCCCCCTCCCCAGTTTCAAAATACAGACTGTTAGCAATAAGCAGTTAATTAATAACAGAATGTCTAACATTCTTTTGAAGGAATTTTTGTGGAACATGACAAATTGGTATCTGAAATGATGCTTTTATGTGAAAATGCCAAGGGCCCAAAGTGTGCAAGCCACTTTGAAGATGGCAGGCTTGGCTGCACCCTACTACCAAACTGTCAGAAATAAGGTAGTATAATATTACAAAAAATAGGCTAGTGGAACTGAAGAGAGAACTCAAAATGCAACGAAGACCTGTACACATGCTTGAAAGGTAACAGAAAGGAAGAGGGACCACCGAGGGCTGGCTTTGCATTGCTTGGTGCCAGGATAAGGGGTACCAGGAAGACCCCTCCCTCACAGGGATGAATGTGTACAAGATGGAGTCAAAGACCTTCTGTGAAAAGTTGCATGATGTAGAATGGAGGCCTTCTGGCACAAGTCCAGGTCTTTTGGCATCTACCCTAAATATATTTGGGTTTCATGTATGCACAGTCCTTTTAAAGAAGTTAAATTGAACTGAATACCAGGAAAGTATCACCATTAGCATTTGAAGTTGCTCTAATTACTATTTTATTTTCCTTTTCAATACTTTTAAAGATTCCACATATTAGACAAAGAAATTTTCTGATAACGTGTTCATTTTTCTGGAGACAACCATATAATCATTTTAAAACGACATGTACATATGAGATAGAAGTTTCCGCAGTCTATAAAAGCCTCTTTGGGGGAATAAACGAGATGTGCTGACCATTCAACTATAACTTTAAAATAAATGGTTTCCTTTCCAAACATGAAGCTCTACACATGGAACTATCAACCTGTGTAGGCAAAGAACTCAGGTCAGGTAAACCCTGAACACTACTTCTACCCAGTGCAGTCCTTTCAGTTACTGTAGGCAAATCTGGTCCTCTAGAAAGACCCTCCACCATCCAGCAACTCCTCAAATTACTCATTCATAAGCAGGAGCAAGAGGACAGTCTTCCTAAGATAAAAGGAGGGGACAAACATTTGTGGAGCGTTTTCTGAGTGCTTTCTGGGGTATTTCACACCCACAATCTCACTAATTCCAAGAAAACATGCCTCCAATTCCTTCCACTGCTCCCTTCCTAAAAAAGGAGGGAACCAATTCTTCTTAACTCATATTCGGTGTCTAAAACAACCAAGTATTACACCGAAAGACATGTAATAAATGCCATTTAATAGAGGCAAAAATAAGGAAAAAGCAAAATTACCTGCTTTCATTTGACTTAAAGGAAAAAAAAAAACTCACCAATGTGCTTTACTACATACTAAAATACCAGACAAGTGCACAACATACTGCAAAACTTTAATACAATGTGGTTAAACACAATACTTGGATATTAAACTTTTCAAACACATAAAAATCATCTTCTGAAAGATCAATGGGCTTTCTATTGTAGCTACCTTTGTGTAACTTTATGAAATTTTCCCCTCAAGGTCTGACACTGATCTTGATACTTGTTAGGAAGTTTGATGTAAGATAATAGCATCTCGACAGTGGGAGGCTTAGATTATTCCAGTGCCCATCTTCAGAATCCATCATCAGAGGACTGCCCGGCATCTTCATCCTTTACTTCTCGGTATTTCCCCAAACACTCTCCTTCTGGATTATAGTTCTGCATTTTAATGTTCAGTCTTTCAGCTAATTTTTGTGCTGCGAGCTTCGCTTGCATCTCCTTTAAAAAAAAAAGAAAGAAAGAAAGAAAGAAATTAAAAAGCAAGGGCCCAAGTTACACATTCAAATCCTTTTCCTTTCAATGGGAAAAAAAAAGGTGAGATAAAGGAGTGTCACCCCCACTTGCAATACAAAGGGGCTGACAGCTATGTCCTAGCAGAGACACAGGGCAAAGCCTGTCTATCCTGGAATAACCTACCTCTGCGCAAGAGAAGGATCCATCAGCTCAGCAAATGACAGCACAGATATACTAAGTATGTGGGCGCACACATGTATACACACATACCATTATGCACACACAAGACAACCTGACCTACGTGGAAAATCACTAGATTTCTCCAAATAACAAAAACCTTCCTTCTGAGTTAAGTCAAGGTCTCTAGGTTTTGGAGTTAGACATTAGTATAACATGGCAAGTACCCATCTCCAAATGAAAGTCAGAAATTAATAAACAAAAACTCCAAGTAAAATTCACAGGGGCAGCGTCCTTCTCTACACTGTCCCCCCACATCCGTGACTGCCATCATACCTCACCCTTCAAGCTGCAGATACTAAAGGCAGATCGAGGTGGGGCTCCTGTTATTACTGTGCCAAGGAAGCCAATTTCAGGCTAAAGAGTCAATTCAATCTAAACATGTCTTAGGCAGGCATTTCAGATCTCAGAGACAACTTAGAAAGCATTTCTTTGATAACACAGTGATAATTAGCAGTAATTTTAATATGCTGAAAGAAAACTGGCTGTGGGGGGGTAGAGTGGGGAGACTACCTTAAAAATGCCAGTTGAGCTTTTATAAAAAGCCATTGTCAGACTGACAAATTAGCTGGTGCATGATACCTGCCTAAAATCTATCTAGCTGAGCAATGTGGATAGCGATCAGCATGTTGTCTTCTTGGAGACTCACAGTTACTAGGTTTATTTAATCTCTACTCCTCCTAGAGTTCTCACACTTAATTTTTGTTCCCTCCTACTAATTTGCACATGGGCTTTGTCAATATACATGTTGAAAATTCTATTCAAAGCACATGGATCTTTGGAGAGGGTACTGTATAAATGTGATTAACATGCCTAAGGTAGGAGCTGCTCTCTCCCCACAGCTCACAAATTATGCTCTGAAGCACAGAGCCCATGTCTGCAGTAACACAATACTGTCTTCCCACCCTCCTGCACTGCCCCTTTTGGAACCACATTCCCCTGATTCTCTTGGCAGAACTCTGAATTAAGACTGCACCTGAGAAGCTGATACACAGGTTTCACAAAGTACAAGAATAACTGTTGCTTCTACTATCTCAGCAGGAGCAGGCAGATAATGTGAAAGTAAGCAATCAGTTCCCACATTTCCTGATAAATCGCTACACCAATGTTGCATATATACAGCTGTAACTGTCTCCATGGCTGCCTGTTGTTCTAACTTTGTGACACTGAAAATCAGTGGCACATTGTCTCAGGGCCTGACCTCAGTGAACCATTTCTCTAGCACCAGTTCCCTTCTAGTAAATCCTTTCCTCCTTGAGCTACCTGGAGTAAATATCAGCTCATAAAGTAGCATGAAACACAGCCAAGAAAAGCAGAATAAATACCTCATAATTCTGTTTCTGCTGTTTCTGAAGAGCCAAAGACTCCTCTATGGAGAGCAGCTGTGTAGGCAAATGGTGAAGTGGTAGGAGTCTCGCGGCAGTGATGTCATCAAGATGCTGCTTATCCCTGCGCCGCCGCTCCTCTGAGGAAACAGGCGGCTCTCCCCTCTGACAGTGACCAGTTGAGTCATTTTTCTGTGATGGCAACCTAGAAGGAAACAGACTATCAGACTATTTTCCTCAAACACTCGGTCATTCTTCTTATAGATGTAGTCAGTCACATGCAAACAAAAATGGCTTTTAATCCTAGCATGTAATTGTCCTACAAAGGTTGTAATAGTAAGCAGTTTATTCATATTCATATGGTAACGGCTGGTGTTCAGTTATACAAACTTCTGCTCTTTCGTCTTTTCCTTCTCTCACCTTATACTTGAACTGAAGCTATTTCCCCTGCTTCTTGCCCCAGTAAATTCAGTCACAGATCATCTGTAAAGGAACATACTGTCCAGTGGAGGGAAATAAACATTTCAGTTTATAAACAGTTTCAGTGTAACATATCACAGGTACCAGGGTAGGGAGTTAAACTTTAGACACTTTAGCTGGGCGCTGGTGGCTCACGCCTGTAATCCTAGCTACTCAGGAGGCTGAGATCTGAGGATCACGGTTGAAGGCCAGCCCAGGCAGGAAAGTCCGTGAGACTCTTATCTCCAATAAACCACTAGAAAATCGGAAGTGGCGCTGTGGCTCAAATGGTAGAGTGCTCGCCTTGAGCTGAAGAGCTGAGGGACAGCGCCCAGGCCCCAGAGTTCAAGCCCCACAATAGATAAAACAACAACAACAACAAAAAACTTTAGATACTTTGTAACAATTGTTATACAGTTAAATATTTTGCACCCAAGGTATAAATCCTGGGTCCTTCTCTAGCCCCTAATCTCTGTGAGGAGTAAAATTTTCACATCACTGCGTCACCACACCTCTGCCCCTTACATGTCAGTTTGCAGACACTTTATGCTGAAAGAGTCTACCAGCTCCTGCAATGCTGTTCTCTGAACTTATGGACTCATCAAAGAGTGAGCTGTATACTAGCAAATAGTGCTGAAAACAACAACCCAGTAACACATTCTCCCTCCAACTCTGTTTATTAGAAAATGTTGGCTAAGCATCCTGAGTTTAATACTCCCCATCTGCTATTTAAAACTTCTCTCAATTATATAGTTTAAAAACTAATGTTATTTTTCAAAAGGAATCCTCTACTTCAGCCAGTTTGGTCTAAATATTCCCAGAATGTTTTCTGGTCTAAGTATTCCCAGAATGTTTTCTATCTCTAAATAGTGCTTACACAGACTCCCTCAACTTAAAGCATTCTTCCAACTTTTTGAGTTTCACACATTCCTATAATAGGTCTGTTTCAAATGACACTTACACGTTGGTTTTAAATTTATGTGGCAGGGACACTGGGTTTTGAGCTCGCATTTCTAGCACTTCCATGTAATGAGGCTTCTTAGGAGTCCCACTGCAAAGGTCTGTTGAGTTTTCAGCACTCAGTTTTTCTTCTGAATGGTGTTCACCTTGATCTGCAAGTGTGATTCTTTTTAACCTGTCAATAAACAGGTTGTCAAGGCTGCAGGAGATGTCTTCTCGATCTGAAGCACAATGCTGGGAGAGATGCTCAATAGATTCAGATGAGGAAGCTCCCTTGGCTCTGCTGTTGGAAGCTGGGCCCTTGCTCACCGTGTACTCAGCCTCTGGAGTGTCTTCATTGTCTCTGTGAGCAGGATGCACAAGTCCCTGCTTTTCTGAGGTTGTTTTAGATGACTTGATGCTATCCACAGGAGAACAGCCAGGAACTGGTGATGAAGTATCAAGTATCTGGTCAGAATTCTGGGGCTTATCTACATCCACATCAACTCCTGAAACTGCATTTTGCCTTAGCTTATAGTCTAAACTAATAGGATGAAACAGTTCACTTTTTCCTCTAACCTCTTCACGTTCTGCAATGGCAGCTTTCAGTTTGGCAACAGTGCCAAAGATCTTTTTACCTTTGTCGGGCAATCTGCAAATGAATTTTCTGTCAAATGGAAAAACATATAAACACATTAGAACCAATTTTACTTATAAAACTTCAGACATAACATTTAAAAGGCACAATATTTTCCTCTGAAAGATGGTCCCAAAAATATAACGCTTTTTGAGATGTGATCTCCAAGACCCAGGAGGTTGAAGAATGGGTCTGTAAGGCCAAATTTCATAATTTCAAGATAGTATTGCCATTGGCCCCTTATATTCAAATGGGCACAGTGGAATTTTCCAGAGGTTTCATAATATGACATCATTGTTCTGAAATGAAACATAGATTTGTATATTTTTGTGTTTTAAAGACATCTCAGTTGTTCCTGATTAGTGAGTAACTTTTGCTAGATAAAACAAGAAAAAGTTAATTTACTGCTACATTAAAAACATAGCTCATAAACTGAAAACGCTGGTCTCTACTTAGGAACCCTCCCATGAAGTGTTTTTTCCTTTTGCTGAATAACAGAAATTCTTTTTCTAATTCTTTCTTTAGTTATATAAGTGGATAGTGAAGTTTATACTTTAGGCCCGGTATTCTTTTTCTGACACTACATCCACTAAATCCAGCAATTTCAACATATTAACACCTCTTTGCCACTGAGATCCTTTCTTTCCCCAGCCTTTTTCTCCTGAGTCTTAGGCTCATGTCTACAGCTTTTAATGATTCAGTTTTTCGCGAACCAAATGTCTAGCTTTCTCTCCCCTCAGCAGAGCATACCATACTTAAAACCAACCTTAAATAAATCCCTCTCACAACTCCACATTTTCTATTTTTGTTAGTGCTTCTCCATACAAATCAGAAATCTATAGCCATGTCTGTTAATTATAGATTCAAATTCTTCCACTTGTCACACTTCCACAATTCTACCTTTCCAGTTCACCCCTCTTCACAGTCCTTTTGTTGAAAACCTCTCTGAAAATATCCTGATGTCTTCTGCTTCTTACTCCTTCAAAGCATCCTGCATCAAGCCATTATATAAAGCTGCTTAAGGGAAAAACACCCTCCTATTGCTCCCCTGTTTAAAATCCAGTCTACCTGCTGAATGAGAGTGCAACCTCGTGTTGCCTAATAAATCACTTGTTATATCCCATGCCTCCATTAAGAATATCTACCGTGCTGGGAAGGTGGCTCAGTGGGTAAGAGTACTTGCCTTGCATGCATGAGGCTCTGGGTTCAATTCCTCAGCACCACATAAACAGAAAAAGCCGGAAGTGGCGCTGTGGCTCAAGTGGTAGGGCACTAGCGTTGAGCTGAAATGCTGAGGGACAGCACCCAGGCCCAGAGTTCAGGCCCCATGACCGACCAATCAATAAATAAACCTAAAATCTAGGTTCCATTAAGTACATATAGGCTGGGATCATGGTTTTGTGGTAGTGTTTGCCTAGTATGCAGGAGGCTCTGGGTTCCATTCCTTGGTAACACATAAACAAAGTCATTAAATGCTTTATTAAAGGTACATATAGAAGCCAGGTGCTGGTTGGCTCACACCAGTAATCCTAGCTATTCAGGAGGCTGAGATATGAGGATCCAGGTTCCAAGCCAGCCTGGTGAGGAAGGTCATGCGACTCTTCATCTCCAATTACCCCCCAATAGGCTGAAAATGGAGCTGTGGCTCAACTGGTAGAGTGCTAGTTTTGAGCAACACACCTTAGAGAAAGTGCTCAGGCTTTGATTTCAAGCCCCAAGACAGACACCCACAAAAAAAAAAGAAAAGAAAAAAGAAAGAAAAGAAGAAGATAAAAAGAAAAAAAAAGAGTAGCTCTAGAGAGAGCGAGGTCCATTAAGAGTAGATCTAGAGAGCCAGTGGCTGGTGCGTGTGATCCTACCCAGAAGGCTGAGATGTGAGGATCCTGGTTCAAGGCCAACCCAGGCAGGAAAAGTCCACGAGACTCCTCATCGACCACCAAAAAAAAAAAAAAAAAAAGGCCAGAAACGGAGGTGTGGCTCAAGTGACAAGCTTGAGCAAAAGCTCAGGAACAGCGCGTCCAACGTCCTGAGTTCAAGCCGCCTTCCGCCCTCCACAGACCCGCCAAGAGTCTGTGCGGACCCAGTAAGGGCAGAGGTACGGGGACCTGGGTCCATTTAGACACGACAACTGTCAACACGTTTTGGTGAAGGGGACAGAGGTGTGCCAAGGGGTGGAGGCCGTGGCCGCGCTGATGATTACCCCCCCCCCACCAC